ACATCTTGTAGGCATAGTTGGCTTTTGAATCTGTCCCAATATCCTGTCTCTTCAATTTATTAGGGAAGAGAAGTTGCTCTGTTTTGGCCTTGCACCCAGTTGACTGGTACTGGACTGTGAATTGTTTGTGACTCCAGACAATCTTGGTACTGACATACAGGAAGAACAACTGATTATTACAACTATGTTACCTTGGCTAAAGTAGTACAATCAGTAATAAAAATAGCATCAAGAGCAGTGTAGAGAATGACAACTGCAGTAACTATTAATTTGCCACCTTCAACCATAGGCTCAAGACTTATAGTTTTATAACAAAATCTAAAACAAATCAGAAAATTATATACAGCAAATGTCCACTCAGTAGAGTGATTTTTACCCTCCAGGGAGAAAATTTAAAACCGCTAAGAGGAAAAAGAAATAAAAGATTAGAAGCAAGGCTGTAGGACAAAAGAAGATCATTCAAACTTTGAGAAGCTAGTGAAGAAGACGAGAGTGAAAGAAAGGAGGTAAAAACCAAAACAAGAACAAAAAAGTTAAAAACAATGTTCACTCATGAAAAAACAGCAACAATCAACCAAGAGTAAAAAAAAAAAAGAAAAAGAAAACCAAATCAAAGGAAAAAAAGATTTCTCAGTGATTTCAAGATTGTGGTTATCTTCTGGGGTCTACAGTTTTGTGGTAGTGTCTAATTTAGGGCATGTATCTGTTGTCACTGGTAGACAAAGGAGGCAGAGCCCAGGTCCATTCTGGATGATTCCAGCAAGCCTGCAGTAAGATTAGGGTGGGGTGCCGATTCTGGTGCTTTTAACTCCATAGTTCAGGCTGATCCTGGCCTCTTATTATGGGGTTCGGGCCCGAGTTGTTCAGCCTACAACACTCTAGGTGTCACTTGCTGGCCTGACCTTAGCTCCCTGACCCTGAATGTCATCCCTCAGTCACTGTGGGATTTTAACACTGGGAACCCAGAGACAAAACCAACCTGTGGTTGCTCTGAGTCTTGGGTTCAGTTAGCTCCTCCTTTAAATGGCATCTGGCCAAGAACCTTCTCCAGGGAACATGACAGTCCCTTGTACTGGAGTTACTCATCAGTTGTTGTAGTACAGAGCATCCAGTGTTCCATTACACTGGTTCATTTCTACTGGCAGGCCTCTGGAGTCACTCACCCTCACTGTGTCCCTATAGATTTGATCGTCATCTCTTAGGCCTCGAGCCTGGGAGTCAGAGAGAAAGCAGCTTGCCCCCTCCTTTTTCTGTTTTGTAGTCTGTCTTTTCACTTTCTCTATGAGCTTCAATTTTCCCTTCAGATTCTTCTTGCATCCCATGTATACACCTCTTTTCTTCCCCAAGTTATTATTTTCCAATATCTTGAGTCCAAATCTTGGAGAGGTTTTGTTGCTGTTTATCGCTCTACCATCTTCCCAGAAGTACTCAATGAATTTTAGAAATCCCAAATTTAGAAATTACAAATAGAAACCTCTACTATAAACATATCAATATAGCAGAATCTTACACAAAATAATTAAATGAATTGAGAGCCAGAAATGTAGATAATTTTATGCAACCTATAGGACCATTTATAGGTATGTGTTAAGAAATGTCAAGAAAGTGACTTGGATTTATTAAGATTCTCTGCATCTATAAAATTCTTTGATTACTTGAGTCCTTAAAGAATGCAAAAAGTGATAGGGATAGTTTTATGCTGGAGAAAGAGAAATCACAATACCACCAACCTCATGCCAGATGATGGGAATACTTCTTGACATAATTTGACTTTTATTATTTTTCTATTAGTACATTTTTGCAGGACATAATAGTTACAATTTATCTTGAGGAGTTGGTACATGTACATAATACATCTTAATTTGAGATAATTTCTGATTCTTATATCATCAAGGGATGAGATGTACTTCATGAGGATAAACTCAGGTTACATCTATATTCTAAGTGTTTACTCTATTTAATGGTTAACCTATAAATAAAGTTCTAATCCATTTTAAAGGGTTACATGTTTAGGTAAATAAATCAAATGCCTGAGGGTAGTCCTTTTACTTAAAGGACTGAAATCTATTTCCCATATACGTCCTAGTATAAGTAAAACAGTTAACTTACCTTGTTCTAAGATTTTCTCAAGATATGTAAGGGCATTTTAGATTAAGTGGGGTCTCACAGAGAGTAACAGAATGACACACAATTAGAATCTACGTTAGAAAAGGAATTATAGACTCCTTTTCATATATTCATTCAAGGCCTTTACAGAAAGTATAGTTTTCATAATCATAAAATAGTAACAGGACATTTTTAGCAAACTTCACCCAACTATAAAAATTTAAGCCTTTAAAGTAATAGAGGTATACACTTACACAGCCTAAAACATGAGTTAAGATGCACATTTCAATGATGCTTCTCTTCCTAAACAGTATTTGAATTTCTAGTTACAGAGCATCTAGCTGGTATTTCAAGTTTATATGCCAAAACCAGATATTAAGACTGAAAATAACTCTGCTTCAAATACATCTAAAGTTGAATACAGAAAAGAAAACATTGTTTCATTCTTTCTGACTGTATTAGCCAACACAGAGTTAATACACAATGAACACATAAGCATGGATTCAGAAGCGGAAGTAGAACAAACCATTTTTTTTGGTCTTTCTCACTTCTCCATACCTTTTGGGAAGCCTTTCAAAAGCAACAAGAGAATATAGTTTGTATAATTTTGGAACCAAATTATAACTACTGAACTGTTAGCTTTCTGTAACCATTAACAAAATACCTGAAAAAAATCACCTTATAAGGAGGAAAGATTCATTCTAGCTGTTTCAGAAGTTTCAGTCCTTGGCCCTGTCACTTTGGGCCTGTGGTGGCACAGTATAGCAGAGCACATGGCACAGGAGACGCTCACCTCATGTTGGGTGGGAAGCGAAAAAGTAAAAGGGGCTGGGGTTCCAATATCCCCCTCAAGGATATGCTCCTGATAACTTAATTTCCATGAGGTCTTATGCCCTAAATGTTTCATCTCCTCAAAACATCACAGGCTGGCAACCAAGTGTTTGTCACATGGTCTTTCAGGAGACATTTAAGATCCAAACTATAACAGGATAATAAAAGAAAAAAATGTAAATTTAAAAAATAACAGATATTTAATGATACCTGATTCACTGGAAACAGGTCATAATATCCATAGACATTAAGCCCAAAACTAAATGAAGTCTTATGACCCACCTTATTACTAGGTATCTTAAATGCTTTTGCTTTTTTTTTGAGACACAGTCACTATGTATCCAAAACCAAGCTTGAACTCCCAGTGATCCACCTCAGTCTCCTAAGTGCTGGGATTATAGGCGTGTACCACCATGCCTGGCTTTTTTAAAAAAATAACTGGATTTCCTTATAGTTCCATATTCAATTACTCCAGCATTTGTACTGTCCAATGTAAAGGAACACATTACTATGTTTAAGAGGATAATCGGGAGTTCTAAGTTCTCTAGTCTTTTCTGTGCCACAAACTAACTATACAGCTAGCTACAAGCAAGTCACTCATTATCTCCAAACCTCAATTTTCTTAAGCTTCTATAAAAACCAAATATAAGTTCATTCTTTGAGAAAGGAGTCACGATTGTGCAGTGTCCCCTTAAAGAGATCTGGCTCTTATAATACAAAGTAAGGCATGTGAATCTTAAGAAGTATTGCACTTACTCAAACACTGGATTTAGACCTAATGAACTAAACTTAGGGTACTAAAAAGGTGGAGGTAAAGTTAAATCGACAATGCTCTGGTGAAAAAACAAAATGAAATTTCTTGGTTATGTTGTCATTCGTTGCTATAAGGATTCTCTTGCTGACAAACTGTTTTTACAATAGGGTCTGTCTTTAATCATGTAAAATGTGAATTTCTATGTTTGCATAGTCGGTAAGACCTTTGAAATATTTTAGATCATTGTGGAAGGTTGTTTAGTAGATAGCAATAGGTCATGAGAAATATTTAATTACTTCAGATACAACTGAACTTAAAAGTGAAGTCAGTGTATTTTTTTCTTTCCCAACCCAAATAAAATCCTTTATTAAATACATATTACAAAAACTAATATCTGCTGTTTACAGCAATCCACTTGGTGATTTCCTAATACAGTAGTTTAAAAACTTACAATGAAACTTTTTCAGATTCAAAAATAATAAAACAATATTAGGCTTTGCTTATTCCTCAACATTCTTCCTCATAAGAGGCATGTTACTATACTTGAAATACCGTCCAGAACTAATATTGCAGCTTAGTTTCAAGGTACAGTCCATACTATTGAAAAATGGAACATTGTTTGAGTAAAGGTAAATGTGTTTAAACTTGCAAATCTTTAAAGTATGAATAAGATTTTAGCTAATAGAAAACCAAAGAAGAAATAATTCCAAATACTGGGGAAAAAACCCTATTTATGGACATACCTTTCATATTCTTTAAACATGTAATTTCATTTCATTCTCAGTACCAACTACACAAAATAAGCTTTATTATTTCATTTTGAAATGAACAAACAGGATCAGCAAAGTTTAAATGGTCTGCCCAAGGATATCAGGTTAGGCAGTAAAATCAGAATTCAAACCTACTTTCTAACCTGTCATTACATCCACTATATGAGTTAACTAAAATGGTAAATTTACACTGTGTATTTATGTGAAGTTATACAAACTGTTTAAAAGTTTTTGTTGACTCAGAGAAAATTATATATGATTTTTCAGCAACTGAGAAAAATAGTAAATGCATTCGTCATGAAAATTACTCCTGCTTACAGAAAACATCAGTGTATTTGAGGATGGGTTGCCCTAAACACAAACAGAAGAGATTCGGAGCCTGTGACTTAATACAATCACTTCTATTTTGGTTGGATCGCACTCTCCTACAGACTCTTTTGAGGTTAAATTTCAAGCAGGAGACAATTATAATTGAAATGAAAAACAGCAAACTTCCCCGAACACAAAAAGTTTTATTTTTAAAAATACAAAAACAATACCTCGAATGAAATGGGTAAGAGGCAGGTGCAAACTTCCGCAAGCACCCAGACTTCCGCAGTCTCTTCCCGGAAACCGACTGAGGGCGTGAAGTCTTCTTTCGGACGCTCTTCCCCGGCGCCCTTCCCGGGGCCGGACGGCAAAGCGGCTGAGGACGCCCGCCGGACACAGGGCCCGAGGGAGCAGACGGAGGCGGGGGCAGCGGACGATCGAGCCGGGTACCCCTGCTCCTACGCCTCCGCGGGGCTCTTCTTCTTGCCCTCAAACCCTGCCGCAAACTCTGAGGAAAACCGGGACCTCCGCCTCCGTCCGCCACCACGGCTTTTGGGAACTCGTCAAACGTCTGCGCTTCCTCCCCGGTCCTCTTCAAAACCCTCTCGGGTCTCGGCGGTTAACCACAAGCTCTTTCCTTACCTCTTCCCAGACCAGTCTCTCCCGAGAGGGAAGAAGGGAGCCCAGACTTCCATTCGCTTCCGCCCGCCGCCGCGCCCACCGACCGCGGCTCCCGGCTCCTCCCCTCCCCAGGCTCGCGCTCCAGCGGGCGAGGACCGAACCGTGGGCTGAAAGCGGCGGTGCGCATGCGCGCCGAGGGCGTTGTCGCCGAGGCTAGAACCGGAAACTTGGAGACAAAGTTCAGAGTCCCACCCCCGCCGCGCGCCGCCTGCCCTCCGGCCCAGTCGACCCTCGACCCGCCGTCCCTGGCCCACGAGTGGACTATGTCTGGCTCTTCCAGCGTCGCCGCTATGAAGAAGGTGGTTCAGCAGCTCCGGCTGGAGGCTGGGCTCAACCGCGTGAAGGTGAGCGGGGGTGGCGGGCGGGGGCCGAGGCCGGCTGGCGGAACTCGCGGCGGCTCGGGCTCCACGGTGGCGATCCGGGAGCGGCCAGCTTTAGAGAGGTGGCCGAGCCGGACGGCCGGCGTTGGGGTGGGTGGCCGGCGCGCCCTTCGGCCCGGAACTCTCCGCGGCGGCCGGCGCCCCTCCCCGCGTCCCTCGGGGCGCCACTCCTCCGGCGTCGCCCGCAGCAGCTGCTCCCGCCTCTCCTTTCCCTCCCTCATCTGCAGGCCGCGCCTTGGCTCGGCCCTGGACTCGGTGTTTTCTCACTTTTGATTCGGAACAGACTGATTTCTTCTTTTCAAATCTCGCCCAAACTAACTCCCATTAGTAGTACATGGCCTCCAAATCCTTTCCTTCACGAAACATATGCTTGGAAATGAGTGGGGTTTTTTTCAGTTTTTTAAAATTAGTAGATGCTTGCAGTACATAGTGATGACACTCCTTGTGGGGAGTTGGTACTTGTACATGACACATTTCATTCTATTTTCTTGCCCTGTCTCTCCTCTCTCCATGTCTTGACCCCCTTCCCATTTGAAAAAGATCTCCCTATTTCCTATTATCTTCTAGTTTGCTCTTTATATAATTTTGGGTTTCTCACATAAGAGAAACCACGCGATATTTAAATTTGTCTGTCACTTAACATTGCGGTCTCAAGGTGAATCCATTTTCTACAAATGATTCATTTATCATTCTTTTTGCCAGAATAGTACGCCGTTGTGTAGAAACACATACTTTTTCTTTATCCATTCATCTGTTGATGGACATATAGGCAGCTTCCAAGACTTAGCTATTAAGAATTGTATTGCAATAATGGCCATTAGAGAAATGCAAATTAAATCAACACAGATTACATTTTACTCTAGAAAGAATGGCTGTTATCAAGTCAAATAATAACAAAAGAATAACAAGTGCTGTTTTGGAGGGGGGGGTTGAGCTTCTATGCTGTTGGTAGAAATGTAAACTAGTACAACCACTATGGAAATCAGTATGGAGATTGCTCAAAAAACTAAAAGTAGAAATTCCATCTGGCCCAGCCATTCCCCTTTCTAGGAATCTTCCCAAACGAATTAAAGACATTAACAGTGAAAAGGAATATTTGCATAACTTAAATTATGAGTTAAAGAAGCAAGTTTGTTTTCTGAAACGTTCCAGGAGTGTCAGGTTACCACCCTTGCCTCATACAACCCTGAACAAAGCATTCATTACATCCCTGTTGGACAGTATTTGCTTGCTCCGATCTGACCTTGAGGATGGCTGCTGGTTCACATGCCTAACAGTGATTAGAGTCAGCCAGTATTGACCCTTCTTTTTTTTGGTACCGGGGATCGAACTCGGGATTTTGCGCTTGCGAGGCAGGCGTCGGAACCACTGAGCTAAATCCCTGGCCCAGTTGGCCCTTCTTACTTTGGCTTTTGGTTATTAGCATCGGCCTTGTCTTGGGATATTACTTTTGAGGAAAAAAGCCTTTCGTCCTTATTGTCTGACAGCTTGACATTCAAATGCTATTCCAAACATTTAAAAAAATCTTGATAAAGTTGAAATCATTAATTCTTTTTTTTTGCGGTACCGGGGATCGAACTTGGGCTTGAGAGGCAGGCGGTGGAACCACTGAGTTAAATCCCTGGCCGGAAATCATTAATTCTTAACTCTTAAATTTTCACTCATGTGCCTCTATAATAGATCGAAGTGAGTCAGGAAAGGAAAGGAGTGGGCTAGACAGACAAGAAAAGGCTGGTGAAAGCAGTAGTTAAAAGTATAGCTCTTGGCCCTAGTTGCCAAAGGAACTGAGATGTCATCCTCAAACTAAAGTTTGTCCTCAAGCTTCGCCTTGAAAATCCCAGTTGCTGTGTTCCCAGCTGCCCAGCTTTAGCCTGCTGTTTGTGCTTAATTCCCTGTAGGCTTCTACTTAGGACTATTAAAACCACCACCAATGATTTGATTTGGACTTCTTGTTTTCTGTCTGATGTTAGGGCTGTGGCAAGGAGGGAAGGGGATTTGGGATTTGAGATGAGTTTTCTGTAGACATATCACTATGTAGTTAGGTTCCATTTCACAGTGTGTATTATATCTGTGCTTCTGTGCTAGGTGCTTTTTGGTGATATTGTAAAACTTAGCACAAACTTACTATGTTTAAACCTTTATATTTGAGTGCACTCCACAGAAATTATCATAAGTGCTTAACAAACTCTCCTGTAGGTAGGTCAGGATACTTTTGAGAGTGAAAGGGGATCTATCATGCCAGAATTAGTTTCAGTTTCCTGGTTAGTGATTATTATCTTGTCTTGGGGGCTAGTAGCTTTGTCCAGTTTGAATCTGTCTCAAGTTTCCTCAACTGCTTGGAATACTGTTTTTCACTAATGGTGATTTGGCTAGATCAGTTATTGAGATCTCAGCTTAAATGTCATTGCAGACATCTTCAGATAGCCATCCAGTCACCATTTAACAAATCACTCTTTTTACTGCAGAGCATCTTCTTTTCTCTTCACCTGTCAGGTCCATAGCCTGTTGTCTTAGTGACTGGAAGTAGACCTGACACATAATGGCACTCGAAAGTTTGAATAGGAGTCATGGTAGACATAACTACATTTTAAACCAAAAATTACCAGGTACTTTTCTGTATGCTTACTTCTGGTTAATGTAAATGAAACCAAATACAGTACCGTACTACACATTGTGATAACTAACACTACACATCCCCTACTTCAGTTACATTTCTTTTTTAGGGAGAAGGAAGGTGAGGCAGGAGTGAAGCCATTTGTAAAAGTACTCTGTACAAGGACTTAAAAATGCAGGTACCCACAGGAGCTAATAAAGCCATGGAACTCATTACTCTGGACTATTGTTTAAGCCAAACAGACTCCAGAAGAATTGAGATTCATTTTAGGACGATGAAGTCTTACATAAATCTGGGATGTAGCTATAATCTGCAGGTTTTTCCTTATAGAGCAATTTGTGAAGCTATTAACTCCTTCAAAGTTTAGAGCCAGGTGATTGTACATTTGCTGTCACCCTCCTTAAGGATATCTAATACTGAGAATAAAATATTTTTGTTTTCCTAAACCTCCATTTCCCACACAGTAGCGTTTTCGAGTAATAGTGCTTTAAAGATAAAGTAGTAGTTTGCTAGAATGTTAATGTTCCTTTAATACCATGTACTGCTTTTTAACAAAAAACAAGATGTTAAGTACCTGTGAGTTTGCAGTTGAACAGCCTATTAAACAAGATGTGCTGTTTTGTAAATAAATGTAATTGTAGTTTGTACTGAGTCATTTGATGCTTCTAATAAACAAAACACTATAAATGAGTCTTACTTGCAAGCAGTGTTTTAAGAGCCAGTATATGATTGCTAGTCTTTAATTAGTATACAATATACTCTTGAGGCAAGAGAAGTCCTGTTTATTTCAAGTATTTACAGAGATTTGAGAAAACGATTACAAACCTTTACCAACTGGTATTTCCCCCTTTTCCTTATGTGTAGGTTTCCCAAGCAGCTGCAGACTTGAAACAGTTCTGCCTGCAGAATGCTCAGCATGATCCTCTGCTGACTGGAGTATCCTCAAGTACAAATCCCTTCAGACCGCAGAAAGTCTGTTCCTTTTTGTAGTCAAATGAATTTTTCAGAGGTAAGTTTCCATAAGTAAAACAATTCACATAGTAGGAATAGTGTTTGCAGCACTTGCAAGTTCATCCCATGCATTTGTTTGGCACTCCCAAGTTTTCAGTCTTAAGGAAAGTAAGGATCGATGAAAATGATTAATTTAGTAGTCATGAACTAATTGTTTGTCATCACAAAGAGGGTTAAATAGAAGACAACCATAAAGGGAATAGGGGATCTACTATAAAACAGTGCTGCTGGGATAAGCCATGTGTTGCACTTTATAGCACTGGCCTAATAGCATGGTATACCTAATGGTGTATTTTGGGGTCCTCAAGTACTATTTTTTCTTAACGTACCTAGCAAATATTTAGACAGTCCTTTTTGGGATGACTTTTAAGGCACTACCAATTGATTTGGGTTAATTTTGATGTTACTGCCATAATAGAACCCAACTATGGGACAGTATAGCAAAAAATTGAGAATTAAAGAGAAAGTCAGGGGATACCTGAATAAGCTGATGTGCAGCAGGCATTTGGAGTGAGGAAAAACAAGTTTTACTTTTTATTCCAATTTTTTGGGCAACGTAAAACATGAGAAACATGAAGTTTTTGGTGGCAGAGTGGACTGCACTTCCGAGGATTAAAAAACTTAATGACTCATTAGAGCATGCTTCTGTGTATTAATTGGTATTTTTTAGATCATTTATCAGGTGTGCAAAATTTTGTTTGTCCAAAAGAGATGTGACCAAAAAATGTGCTTTGGATGATTTAAAATGTAATTCAAAGATGCTGTCCTTTTAAATCCTTTGTATCCAGGGCATGATTCACTAGTATTCACATATGAGAAGCTAATAGTGCTTTAAAAAGAGATTTTGCATATGACACATACCCTTTACTAACATTATGACTTGAAAAATCCAGGGAACTGGTTCCTAAAATACCTTGTTACATAGATGTACTCTCCTAATTAAGCTTTATAGACATGAGTGTCTGGGAAGTCTGTATAAGTACAGCATGGTTCCAGTAAACGCAAAATTGATTAAGATGGCAAAATTTTTTGAAACACCTAAAGAAGTAAGGTTTTTTTTTTCTTTCTTTGTACAGGGTCTTGCTATAGTTGGCTTGCCCTGCAATCCCTATATAGCCCAGACTGAGCTTCAATTCTTTTGTCATCCTGCCTCAGTCTCCTGAGTGCTGAGGCTGTAGATGGGCTTCGTATTTCATGGTCTATTATTTCCTTGATTCTGGCAATATACATTTAATTTTTCATGGGTATATTTAGAAGTTTCATATTGTTATAGTTTATTAAAAATTCTTTTAAAATCTCAGTTCCTGTTGTATTCACTTTACAAAATCATATATTTTCATTTGGCTAAAAGTATTGTTAAGAAACCTGAGCTACCTATTTTACTTCACAGGAGCCTACAAATAAATGTTCAAATGATTTGCTCAAGTTCATAACTGGGATAAGCGCTCAGATTTCAAAGTAGAATATGGGTAGTAATCCCAGCAGTATAAGAATCTTTTGTGGATATTATGACTCAAAACAATTTGGTTTAAGGAAACAATACTTGGGTATAAAAATGTTGCTTCTCAAAAACCTGAGTGTACCTACTACAAGCGTTCATTTTATATTAATGCTCATGGTCCCAGGCCTATACTGATTGACATGAATGTAAAAGTCTACATTGGTGTCTTTATATTCATAATAGCTTTTAAAAATTATATGGTATCTTTAAAATAAAAAAAATTTAGCAACAAGCAGTACAAGGAAGAAATCACCATGATCAGCACACCTTACAGTAACCACTATTAACGTGTATTTCCTTTTAAGAGGAAATTTTTTAAAAATAAGGATCATAGTTTTAGCAGTTAGTTCTTCATTCTGGCTTAAAAAAAAAACTTAATGGATATCGTATTTCATTTATCTCCCCCTCCCCCCATACTGGGGATTGAACCTAGGGCCTTTTCACTGAGCTATAGCCCTAGTTCTTTTACAAATTTTTTTTTTTTTTGAGAGAAGGTCAGAGTTGCTCAGACTGGTCTCCAAGTCATGATCCTCCTGCCTGAGCCTCTGAGTTCATATTACAGGCACCACCATACCTAGCTACTAAATATTCTTTATAAACAAGATCTTCACAGCTGTACTGTAACTGTACTTCACTTAATACTGAAATTTCCAAATTTGAGGCTACAGTGAAGCATACATCTTGGTGTCTATATTTATGCTTCACTTGTCATTAAGATAAATTTCTAGAAGTAAAATTAGTCAACATGAAATGAACATTTAAGATTTTAATAAAACTTGGTAACCACTTTCAATATAATACTTTGGTCTTCCACTAGGGAGTATGAGTGGTTTTTTGCTGAATGCTTGCCAAACCTTGGTCTGCCTGCTGTTATTTTAAGTGAAGTTAAAGCATTTTCATGGTTTTTGTTACCCTATAGCAGTAATTTTGTTTATACCTCTTAAATATTTGTTGTGAACTACCTCAAATTTTCAATTTAGTACAAAGATCTGGATTAAATGATTTATATTTTGTTAATTTTTAAAATAAAACAGACCATACTTTTTCTGCTTTTCTATTCAGATAATTTATTCTGAAGTTGTTATGCCAATGTTTTTACTTTTTACTAAATATACCTATTGTATTTTATAGTTTTAACTGTAATGTTTTTGATGGCATAAGACTATTGCATTATTTTTGAGTTTTGTTTATCCGTAGATCATTCACTCATGTTTTTCTTCTTTTGTTTTTAAGACATGATTTCTGTGTAGTCCAGCAGGCTTGAACTTGCAGTTTTCCTACCTCAGCTTTCCAAATGGTGGGATTACATGTGTACATGGCATGCTCAGCTACTTTTTCAGTCATTTTAACTGCTATATAGTTTGTATTCTGTCATATACACAGGCTTTAGTTTATTCATTTCTCTACTGAGTTACATTAAGGCTGTTTCCACTTCCTGCTGTTAAAACAACTATGGTCATTATTTGTGTATATGTTTTCTATATAATAAGTTTATGTAGGTACATACAAGGGCGATTGTATCTGCTACTTCATGAGCTACTGTTGGCTAACTGTTCTTAATGCTGTTATTTATTTTAAAAGGGATATTCATGTTGATACTTTTTTATGTTAACCTTTTTATTATGATAGAGTGTATTTGGGACTAATCTTAACAAGTTAATATAAGTATTTGTAAAACGGTGATATTTCAGAGTGGCTATGATAATTAAGAGAAAGTTTAATTTTTTTTTTTATGGTACTTTCTGTTGAGCTCAGGTCTGCACACGGAGCTGTACTTGCTACCTGTTTTAATTTTGAGGCAGGGTCTTCCTGAATTGCCCACTCTGGCTTTGAATGAGATCCTCTTGCCTTAGCTTCCTTAGTAGGTTGATTATAGGTGTGTGCCCCCACACCCAGTGGGAATGTTGGATTTTACTGGTTCCTACACCAAAGGCTTTTCCATCCTATTTTGTAGGCTTTCTTAAAAATTCTGCTATATATCTGCTGTAGATAAAGAGGCCTAATTTAATTGAAATCTTTTATAAATTGACATTCAAATAAAACCTGTAAAAATTAATTTAGATGTATCTCTGGCATCTCAAAAAGGCCATAAGTTGAAAATACATTTAATAAACCTAACTTAACAAATGTAATAGCTTAGCAACAGTACACAGTGGGGTGCTGGTTGCTAACTGAATATCCCTAGCCCAATTTGAAATAGTTTCTCCTGAATGCATACAGCTTTTATACCATCATAAAGTTGAAAAATCTTATGTTCCGCCATTAATGGGTCAAGGAATATCTGTATAAACTGTTACTTATAAAAATAAGTAAAGGACATAAGCAATTTGTAAAAAAACTGAGAAATACAAAAATGAGGGCAATTGAATATTCTTAAGAAAAATGTAAAGAAAACTAGTATTCTTTGACACTTCACCCTAATTTACTTTTTTCTCTTTTCAGTTTTGCAGACCACTTTTAACCAACTATTCAGAAAAAAGAAAACTGAAGCCTGTACAAGCTTCCCCTTTCTTAACATGTGCCATAACACACAAACTTCTACTTTTGTCAGTCCTTAACATCTACCTCTCTGAATTTTCATGAATTTCTATTTCACGAGGGTATTTTATATACACTGGTGGCAGCATACAATAAAATACTTAGTATAAAAATGTTTTACTTTCTTATTGGTTTGAAATAAACTGTTAATCTGTTGAAGGTGTTTTTAGTGTTTAAGTTTTATGTTTCTTTCACCAATTCTCATATGACTTTATGCCTTTCATTTATAAGATTGTCAGAAAATTAAAGGTAAGTGCTGGGCATGGTGGCTCATGCCTGTAATCCCAGCACTGGGAAGGCTGAGGCAAAAGGATTGCTGTCAATTCGGCCAGCCTGGGCTACATAGTGAGTTCAAGGCCAGCCTGAATGGCATGTATTACAGTACCATGTAATGAAGTAAATAGGAGTAAGAAAAGAAGAACTTTAGCTTCAGGAATCTGGATCTCTGCTTCAAGTCCTGGTAAATCATTTTGCTTTAAACTTTTACCCTTCTGAAAAGCTTAAGGAAATCTGGCCTCAATTTTAGTTAAAATTATGCGTGCCAGACACTAAGGATGTAACATTAATCTATTAAATCAGAGGTTACATGGTATCTGTCATCCCTTCTGTATCTTTCAGCCTATTATACTCTGAAAATGCAAATGGGAAAATTAATCTGAGTCTTGATTCCAAAATTACCCTCAAATAAGACAAATTAAGAAACCTAACTTAAAACTTCTAAGCTTTCACCACTTTTATTTGTATTTAATACATACAAAGTAGCAATTCAGGGCACTTGGGACATTTGTTCAGCTCTGAAAGAAAATTTATGTCAGTAAATGCCATTTTGAAAAGAGTTCTCTCACAGAGAATTTACCAAGTCCAAGACAGCCTGTTCAACAAAATCCAATACTGTTGATTCCCAGTACTTTATAAATGGAATTTTCTTCGACTCGTATCCATTTCCCGGGGCTGAAAATTAGAAGGGAGGAAAAAAATACCGTGAACAATTAAGGTAAGATAGTAAAAGTTAACTTTTTTAGGTCTTTGTGCTGAAAAGCTCTGTCTCTGAGACCCAAAATAAACAGGGCTAATATAGACGCATTGGGTATTATAATTTTAAGTAAAGATGTTTAAAAAGTATATAATACTGCTTAGTAGACTTTTTATAAAAATACTGATGTTTTCACTTATGATTTAAGATGATGTCCAAACTTGTATAAAAACTTGTAGCAGAACTCAAGAAACACACAGTGTAATAACAGTGTAATTCAGCAGTAAAAGCAGCATTTATGTAGCTGATCTAGTAGGTCTGGGGCTCAAGAATTTCCATTCCTAGGGGTCCAGGGATTTAGCTCAGTGGTGCCACCGCCTGCGCAAGGTTCTGAGTCCCCCTGGCCCCAAGAATTTCCATTCCTATCAAGGTTTTAGGTGATGTTATTTCTACTTTGAGAACGCTGATCGTTATGCTACTTCACATATAAGACAGGCTTAATCATCAGTCCCAGACAGCCTGTCGTGGTGGTGGTGAACCAATGGCACACATGTTGTTTTTTTTTAAGATAAAAGATGTTAATGTATGGGTTTTTTCTAAACGAAAACCTTAGTATTCAGGTTTAATTGCAGTATTGGCGCTGTGTGATAAATGAGTTTGGGGTTGCAGCTTGGGCACTCGTCTCTAAAAGGTTCACCATCACTGCACTATTATTGGTTTTTTCTCACTCATGGGGGAAGAAATTCACAAGCATAACTTAAGGTATAAATAGCCAAGGTTTAAAGCACATGGTTTACTTTTCATTACATGCTTCAAAAATTACTTAAATGGGTTTTGAAACGGTAAGTACACACCTTATGGACCCATTCATACTCGCCATATTTAGAATCAAACGTTCCTTTCTGAAGAGATCTTAATTTTAAGGTAAAACGTGGTCCAAGTTCCTGAATTCCTACTTTCTTTTCACTCCTGAATATGTATCTTCAAAGACAAAAGAGTTATTAATGTTAAATAACAGTTGGGATCATTCAGACCAATTTCTTTATGACAAAGCTTGTCATACATAATATAGTAGAAAATAAGTTCACGTTGAAAACATATTTCATGATTGACACCAAAGTCCAAGGAGTTAAATATGTTCCTCACCTATGAAATCTGAAGAAAATATAATCCCGCTGATTGTGGAATGTAGCAACCTGTCTTCCAATAAATTGAGGATTATGGGGAAAGAGAGAAGCAAACATACGTCCAATTGAATGACCCAGCCTTGTTGTAAAATTATTCAGGATTATTTCAGGTACATGTTCTGTGGGGTCCTTGCCCCTTCTCTAGAAAAAGAATAAAAAAACAGACCACATTAAGCTAGTTGGTAATGCATCTCTGCAATTTCGTAATTTACATGACAAATTAGAAAAATTTAATATTTTTTAAATAACAGACTACCACATGGCTTATTAAACAAAGATGTACATTTTAATATGCACTTTCTGCACCAAAAAGTCCTAGAAAGTATGATTTGTAGTATTGAGGACTGCTGCCTATCTGCCATAAATCAATCACAATCTCACAAGAATATTCAGTAGGTAAAACTTTAATCATAGGAATAATTAAAATTGGTTAGATCTATAAGATAAGGAATCTGTCAAATAATCAGATCAGTACTAATCCAGTATTAAAACTTACCTTAATTTCTTTTCGAAGACGAACACTGCTCATTTTAAAATGAGCAGTTGGGCCATCTGGCAAGTGACTCAAAATAAGTCCATCTGTTCATTAAAGTTAAGACACAGCAAACTCTACATCTTTTCAGACTACAAACTTGTAAATGCACTTGTTGAAATCAAGGTTATTAATATTTCTTAAGCTCTTAGTTAACTATACACTACAAGATATAACCAACAAATTAGCAGCTATTGTCTACCATGAAGTCACCTTTATGTTTAAAGCCTCTTAAAATCTGCAGTTAGCAGGTGCATGAATGTATTAATCTAGGTTAACTAAAGTTTTTCTAGTATACCAAAAATTTACTCAAAATAGATTAACCTAGAGTAAGAGTAGCCTTACCTTCTCTTTTTTCAATATGATAAATAGCTAGTCATCATCCTCAGCAAGGTATCTTAGGCTTTCAACTGAAGTAGGTAAACAAAAGCTACTTAATGAACACTACCTAAGCAGGAATAAGATGACAGTATTCTAGAATCTAGCAACACAATATAAATTCACTTCCAGCTTCAGAAGATCATAACCCTAAAAATGCTACTTTTAAAAATGTTTATATGGTTAGAATATGCAATGAGCTTTGAATACCATCTCAGACCAGAAACTTGTAAATGCACTTGTTGAAATCAAGGTTATTAATATTTCTTAAGCTTTTAGTCTTAGATTTACTATACAAGTTATACAACCAACCAATTAGTAGCTACTGTCTACCATGAACAGAACTATGCTAGACACTCTAAACTACAAATGAATAAAAAGACACCTACCTACATTTGGCAGTATTAGTAGCCCAATGTCTCTAAAAGTCCCAGCTGTAGCAAACTAGGATTACCACCTATACAATATTCCTCAAATACTTGACTTTAACCACTTAACTCACAAGTTGACTTTAACCTCTCCTTTATTTTTCAGTGAATGAATTCTGAGTATTGTCCAGTTGCACAGACAGGAAGAACTGAGGGTAATGGACAGGAATTTCAATTTACAGCATGCTTTTTCAAACACCTGATTCTTTAGCCACTTACCAGTCCAATTATTTAAATATAGGATGACCAAAATTGTGTATTTTTGGGGTTAATTTTTATAATATAACAAAATATAAGAATGATAATTTTATCAAATTTATTCATCAGAAGAATCGACTGGTTGAAATGATACCTGCCTGAGTGGTGCTTGGGACAGTACGTAAACAAACATGGCTCAGGGTAAACTGCTAAGTGGTTAAAAACTGAACCTTAAATGTAGGTCAAAATCAAGACTGTTTCAAGCCTATTTACACACAATATGAAATTTACAAAACAGATGTGGCCATCTTTGGTTATCTTCAACTTTTTCTCCTACCAAATCTTACAGTTTTTACCTTCTTAAGTTCTTTCTCCTACAGCAGCCTTTTTACCCTCTTAACTATCTTAGTTGAGATCCTTGAGGTTTTCCACCTAGACTGACAGTATCATGCTGGGTCTTACCTTCTCTATTTCAAGTACATCTAGACTAAATTAATTCTGTTTGAATAATGAGGAAAAGAGACTGACAGCTTAGTCTACAAGGTGTCTAATTAATACATTGCAGATAAAAAAGACAATTTTATATTAAAGACAACATACGCCTTCTCGAGACTACAGATTATATAAGTAAAATGTGTGTGCCTGTGTAAAATATCTCAGTAAAACAGGATGAGAATGTTTATTGAAATGATGAATGCCTGCTTCTTAGCAAAGAGTTAATATCAATCCTTAAATGGTATTTTTTTAACTGTCAAAAATAAAAAGGTAGGCCGGGGATTTAGCTCAGTAGTTCCACTGCCTGCCTTGCAAGCGCAAGGTCCTGAGTTTGATCTCCGGTACCAAAAAAAAAAAGACCACGCCACTTTATCTTTTGGGGCAATTAAAAAAAAGGCAGCAAGTACTTTAAAAGTAGACCTTTTCTGGAATAGTTAAGTATTCAAAAGATTTTAGTTTGGTATATTAATCTGGGTAAGCCAAATCATAGCCAACAAGATACCACAGTAAAAGCTAGTTTTTGTCTATTTTTGTTTCTAGAAAATACTACAAGTGAATAAATATATTTAAGTTATATTGAAAATTAACAAAAGCCACAGAAATTAGGTATTTAAAATACAGCCTTTTAAAACAATTTAAAATAATTAGTGTTCACTGATACAACATGTCTTGGTGACAAAACAGTCTTGCTGCTATTCTTTTGTAAATCTTTGATTTAATCAGTTGGTCATCTCTAAGGTTACTGTAGTCACAGGTGTTAGTTAATAAAACAACAGCAACAGTAAAAATAAATCTACATTTCCTTTATCTCAAAACAGAAACACCTTGGGTTCAGGTGACACATTTACCTCAGATTGGTACTGGCATCTAAAACACCATCAGTCACATAGTGTGGGCTCAGATTTCCACTTCAGACCCATAATTCTGTGACATCAGCTCCACATCTGATCTAGCCAGACCAAAGTACATGCAGATCCAACTGGGTCAGCCCTCTCATGCCACCCCTTCTTCAAATGACTGTCCTCTGCACTCAACACTCCCTTCTTGTCTTATTCACCTCATTCACCCCTTGGATCCACCTTAAGCATCTCTTTCTATGTGAAGTCCTTCCTGATATCCCCAGAACAGGGTAGACTAGCACAAGGTTTATATTTTGTATTTCTTTAATTGTTCCATCCACACTATATTTTGTTAGTTTATATGTCTGTTTACTCTGAATTCCCTAAAGGCTCTCTTTCATTCTGCATCCTTTGAAAGGATTAAAACAATATCTTAGCTGTAACATGTGCCTCCTAAAAATGTATGGTGAATAAAAAGGAAAAAAATCAGTTTATAGAATCTTGCATAGAAACAGTTACTTTTTGAGGAAAATTATGTTCTGGGAGTTAGAGGGAACAGCTCCTTATTCTTTCAAATATATTTTAAAAGGGATAACGGAAGGGATAGCAAAACTTCCTTTAAAATAAGGATACTTGGTATTTTACGATCTTCATTAATCACGATTAGATCTGTGAAATCTCTTGAGATGCACTGTGGAATAATTTTTTTCAGAGCAAGTCCTCTTCTATAATAAACATGTGAGTTGGGTATAACCGTTGAGAGCTGCTGACAGAGTCTTACTGTTCTCTGTAAAACAAAGTAACAAAAATTCTCAAAAGTGAAAAAGAATAAAGTATTACATGGCTTATAATCATAAGGAAATGAATGATTATAAGACTGTTGTTAATAGAAAGAGCAAAGGAAAATAATGAAAATTATGTGTCTCATCTTTTATCAAAGGCTGGTCATCCTAAAGCAACAAAGGGTACTTTTGCTCCACCAAGAGACATTTGGCAACATATAGGGACATTTCTGCGGTTACTAATGGAAAGAAGCTGGGGACAATGCTGAACATCCTAAAATGAACAGGATAGCTCACCATAACAATGAACTACCCAGCCCAAAATGTCAATAGTGCTGAGCCCGAGAAATTCTTATCTTGTAGAATTATGCTTAGTGAACCTCTACCATATCAACAGTTAATTTTTATTTTAGCTTATTCAAGGCATTATTTAAAGCAATAACTATTTAACTGTTCTGAAAAGAGTACCTTAAACAGAATATAAGGTAATTAAAAATTCAAGAACTATACTGTAAATGTGTTTACCCCATGAGGTCTATCTGATGTTGTGATGAGAATCTTGGGAGAAGTTTGTCTGTTGAAGTAAGGAGCAAATTCATCTGTAGCTTCATCATAAGCAACCTGAAAACAGAGAAGATATAATTTTATATCAAACAAATACTCTACTGAGTCTGACTGTTGACACTAACTACCTAGCTGAAAGGATCTGAAGATCTGGGAGGGACTAATGTTAGTGGCTACCTGAAGAGATTGGATGACTTCTCCCCTAGAATACAAGTATAAAGCTAGATAAAACTACCAGTAATTATTTTAATACATAAACTGAGACATATTTATTCTTAGAAAATGGCTATAAAAGGGGTAAAAACATCAGGAATTAGCTTGGCTGGTGAAAACATAACTCTATCAACTTCAAGAGTGATAGTAGGTAAGAAGTAGCAGTCTTGGATTTGGAGGTGGTGGACTGGACCAGGAAGGGGAGGTAAAAACCCACAGCTTTGCCAATGCAGGGTTGCAAATGCAGTTCAGGGTAAGTGTGGACCGGCCAAAAATTTAAAGCAGTGCTCTGGAAGCGAAAGATCCATAATCTCCCCACAAATCTGTGGCTGACAGCTAACCTTACACATATGTTGGAGAAGACCCGAGAATCCACAAAATGTGAAAGACAAGGGAGACTTGAGAATTGGCTGTAACTATAAAGGCACTCCTAAATTCACACACAGCTCAGATGGCATGGATGTCTGAGGGGCCTGAGGTAGCTCAACAATCTGCCTAATCAGTGGGTGACCACTAATCCACACAAACATGGGAGGCAATCGCTAGGGAATTTAGTTAAAAGTAATTTAAAAACTGAGTAGAGACTCAGTGCTATTATCAGGGAGACAGGCTACGTAGTTTAACTCCACACAAACTACTAAAAAAGCACAAACCCTTACAAAATAAAGTAGAATTTAAAATGTCTAATTTTCAACCAATTAGTAGATTTATTAGAAACAAAAAAGCATGGTACATTATCAGAGAAAAAGCAGTCAATAGTTGCCGAATGGTTTCAGATGTTGAATTTAGCAAAATTCAAACAGCACTAATTAAAATATACAAGGATTTAAAGGAAATATGGACTAAATAGCCAATCTGACAAGGCATAAAAATCAGTGCAAACTGACTAATATATATGACTATATATACTGACTAATATATATGGACTGAACAAAGAAAATAATCATAGAAAGTACAGCAAACTGGAGAAACCTGTAGGATAATATCAAACATTTCAATAGCACATGTAAAGGGAGTCCCCAAAGAGAAGAGAAAGGGGCAGAAAAACTATTTGAAGAAATAATGGCTGAAAACATCATATATAAGAAAAACACTAACAGATCTACAAAGCTTAGCAAATCCCAAGCAGGATTTTAAAAAAAAAGAACAATACTTAAGCATGTTAGTGCCAAACTGCTAAAAGCCAAAACCAAGAAAATTTGAAAGAAGTAAAAGGAAATACTGATGACAAGTGGGAATAATTAAAAGTTAAATTACAGTGGAATGGCATATTCAAAGCGTTAAAAAAACCTCAGCCAAATATTTTATATTCTACAAAGTTTTAAAAAATGAAGGGAAGTAGGCATATTTCCAGATAAGCAAGTCTGAGATAATAGCAGCTACTGAACCTAATGTAAAAAAACCCAAGAGACTAAAGGAAGTCCTACAAATGGAAAGAAAATGACACTAGATGGTAACAGACCAGGAAAGAGTGCTGTAAATGGTAAATACAAAGGTACATAAAAGACTCTGTGTATTCACTCTCAATTTCCTTGAAAAACTTCAGGTTGTTTAAAGCAGTAATTACAACACTAGGTTTATAATGCAGTACATAACAACAATGATAGCATGAAGAGGGTGGAAACAACAAAACTACTAGCACAAGCCTGTTACACTGTACCAGAATTATGTCAGTGTTTGTTTGAAATAGACCATAATAAAGACGAATGTTGTAATTTATTTTTGTCAGTGCAGGGGACTGAACACAGGACATTGTGTATGCTAGACAAGCAGCCCTGTATTATACTAATTCTAAGAGCAACCACGAAAAAATAAAATTAGTTTAAAAATGGCATATTAAAAATGTTTAATACAAAAGAAAGTCAAAGAGGAAGGAAAAATTAAAATGTTTTCTGAGAAAAAAGCAAAATGGCAGATATAAATCTAACTACATCAGTAACATTAAATATGTCAGACCGAATATGAAAACAAGATTCAGCTATATGATCTCCATAGGTGATATATTTAAAATTCAGAGTCATAAACACACTGAAAGTAAAAGCTTTAAAAAAATGCACCATGCAAACAGTACCTATGAAGAGAGTTTTAAGTGGCTGTACATACAACATCAGACAAAATACATACTAAGAAAAACTGCTAGAACAGCAGGGGTGAACCTAGGTCCATGTGTTATTGTGTTTTTCTTTTAAGACAAAAGATGTTAATATATGAGTTGTTTTTTCTAAATGAAAACCTCAGTATTCAGGTTTAATTGCAGCACTGGCATTTTGCGATAAATAGGTGGGTTTTGGATTGCAGTTTGGTACTCCATCTCTAAAAGGTTTGCCATCACTGTGCTAGTAGAGACAATGAGGGATATTTTGTATTGGATTAAGGGTGAGTATATCAGAGAGATATAATTATATAGTTACATAATTTACATAAGAACATAATTACAAATATAATATTATGTACCTATTAAAAGTACTCCCAAAAGACAAAAGCAAAAACTGCAAGTATGGAAGAAACAAGACAATTCAGCAAGTATAGGTAGAAACTTCAGTGCTCCACTCTCAGTAACTAATACAACTAGATGTGAACCATACTATCAACCAAGCTGAACCAACTATATAATAATCCAACTCAAGCCAATAAAATACATATTTTTCAAGGGCTATGTAGAATAGTCTCTAAGTTAGACTGTATACAAAGACACAAAATAGTCTTCTTTAATTGAAAAAGACAGACACCAAAGTATGTTCCACAACTACAATATTAAATTACAAATTAGCCAGAAAGCAATTTGGAAAATCCTTGAAAATCTAGAAATCGAGCAACACACTTAATAACTGATAACCCAAGAAGTCACAAGAGAAAGTACAAAATATCTTGAACAGAATGAAAATAAAAATACAATAAACATACCAAAATTTATAGGCTACAATTAAAGCAGTGATAAGAGTAAAAATCAGAGCTTTAAACTGTTATATTAAGAAGAGAAGTCTAAAAGTAATAATCCAAGCATCTATCTTAAAAAGTTGGGGGAACATGAATAAAACTTAAGGTAAGCAGAAGAAATAATGAAGACTGGGGGAAAAGCAATGATCTAAAATATACTGGTGGGGTTGGGGAACCACCTGCCTCGCAAGCAGAAGGTCCTGAGTTTGATCCCTGGTACAAAAAAAAATATATATATATATATATATATATATATATTGGTGTGACACGGAGGTTGGTTAATGAGTACCAACATATAATTACATAGGAGAAATTAGTTCTAATGTGCTATGGCAGAGTAGGGTAAATATTGCATTTATTATATATTTCAAAATTTATTATACATTTCAAAATAACTAGACAAGAGTTTGAAAGTTCCCATTCCATAGAAATAATAATATTTGAGGAGATGGAAATGCTAATTACCTAATTTAATCATTACATATTATATATGTATCAAATTATCATACTATACCCCATAAGTAAATGTGAATTAAAAATGTTTAATCAAGCAAAAAAAACCTAATGAAATTATAAGAAATCAACTCTACCATTAGAAGAGATATTCAAATTTAAACAACAATAAAAGAAGCACATTTTAAACCTTATGTGATATACCAAAACTGGTACTTAAGAGTTTTGTGGTCTTGTTTGCTCATAATAGAAAAGATGAAAAAATGAGCAAGTCAATAAAGTAAATGAAAGCAGAAGGGAATAAAATAGAAGGATAAATAAATTAGAAAATAAAGATTTAATAAAGCAGATTAAAGAAAAAAATAATACAGTGCATGTATCTCTGGTGAAAGTGATTAAGAAAAAATATCCAAACAAATATTAGAAATGGAAAGGAGACATTCTTACAGTCTCACTCATGAACATAGATATACATTAATTCTAACCAAAGTATTAAAAACCAAACACCATAACCAAAATGGGCATATGTCAACAATGAAAGATATTTAACATTAGAAAATCCATATATGTCATTTAGTATAGTAATGCAATACAGGAGAAAAACCACATGCCATCTCAATATGTGCAGAACAAGAACCTAAACATTCTACATTCATTGATGATAAAACAAAATGTAAGAATAAGTGGAATTTCTTTAACCCAATATATACCTAATGATAAAAACATTAATGATGATGGATCAAAAGTATGCTTTTTAAAATCAGAAGCATGGCAAAGATACCATTATTGATTTTTCTATTTATTTCACATTATGTTAAATATTTTATTCAGCACAGAAGCAAGAAAAAATAAAGCATCCAAGGACTGAAATAAAACTGTCATTTATTAAAATTATTATCTAACATAAAAATTGAAAATAATATTCAGACATATTATTAAGAATTAGTTTAGATCGGCTATGGATAGAAGCCCAGAAAATTGCAGTTTTATAAATTAGCAAACAGACCCATTTACACAGAGATGCAATACACTAAGAGAAAGCCTAAAATACTTGGGAATAGCTCTAACAAGATTTATTTGTAAAACTACATGTCTGAAGAAAATTATAAAATTCATTGAAGATATTTTCAGTATTCAGAAAAAGGTAAAGCAATAAATAAGAGATCCCCCAAATTGACCTGATTTAGTGCCATTTACAATTTTCATGGAAAATTAAAGGCCCAGAAAGACCTAGACCAATTCTGAAGAAAAGGGATTTGGGGTGGGGGGATGAGAGACACCTCATCCTTACAGATATCGAGACTTAAGAAGTCAAATAATTAAGAAAGGAAATGATGCAATGAAAAACTGATTAATCAAGTAGCCCCCCAAACCCACACATATATGGATACTTGATATATGACAGTATTATAAGGTACTGTGGGGGAAGGTTTCACTACTCTAAAACTGGTGCTGGGGAAAGTGATTATATATGTGCATTCAAGAGGTTAGAGGTGGGAGAGAGGACAGTAACTAGGTTTTCCTTCTCACACCAAACAGAAAATTCCTAACAAGTACATGAATGTGAAAGGCAACTCTTTTTTTGGAGGTGGGAGAACCTATGGTCACAGCATAAAGGCTTCTTGAATAAGACATAAATTGCATTAAATATTAAAACATTTTAAAATCTCAACTGTATTAATGTATTACATTTCCTGTCACTGAGACACAAGCAGAAGAGGTTTAATTAGCCTTAGCGTTTCATGGGTTCAGTCCATGGTCAGTTGGCCTGCTTAGTTCATGGTGCCCAGGAGGCAGGACAGGCCAAAAAGGGGCAAGGGACTAAATAAAGGCTTAAAGCTCATGCCTCTCTGACTGACTCAGGCATACCCAGAAGTGTGCGTTATTAATTCCCTGGATGGCTCTCAAGCCAATCAAGTCAATAATCTAACTTACTGGTCACAACTAAGAACTCTATTCTTCCAAAGATACCAAAGAAAGCAAGAGAATCTATAAATTGAAAATTTCCCTAACATATAAAAATAGTATCCAAATTATATAGAAAATGTATACAAATCAGTAAAATACACTGCATGATAGATAATTGGACCAAAGACATGAACTAGTTTATCTCTGAAAGAAAGCAGTTCATATATGAAAAGATGCTCAACCATATTAGCAAATAGGGAAATACAAATTAAAATCACAATAAGACAATATATCACGAATGTGAATACAACAACATTTAGTTAGAAGGTAGATGAATAGAAACATTGCTCTTGTACTATAGCAGTATAAAATGATCCAACCACTTTGGAAAAGATTTTGGTACTAACCTGTTAAGTTGAATATTTGCTCATCCCCAACAAATTCTCTCATAGGTAAATACTCTGGGAAAACTTTTACATATATGTACACTCTGTATGTCTAAATCTCCAAATTCATCTCCTGCTAAGATTTTGCTTGAATTCCAAACTCATTGCTCGGCTGCCAGATTGTTTTTTCTAAAAATTCTTGGGAGTCACCTCAAACAACATATCTAAAGCTGAACTCTTGATTTCCTCCTTAAATTGGCTTCACCCACTACTCTACACCTAGGCAGCTGACAATTTCATTCTTCTAACTGCTTAGACTTAACCCTGATACATTTTTGAATCCTCTTTTTCACACCCCACAACCAATGTATCAGGAAACCCTGGTGCCTTGAATTTCAAATACCCAAGAATAAAAATAAAATCCAATCAAACCAGTTCTTACCACTTTCATTTTAACTACTCTAATCCAAGTCCTCATTATAATCTCTGTCCTGCAAATAATAGCTTCCTAACTAGTCTATTTACCACTCTAATTATATTCTCAGTGCAGCACGTACTCACATTTAAAAATTAAGTCTGATCACATCAAGTGTAAAACCAAAATCTTCACAATGGCCAATAAGATCATACTTTCTTGGCAGCTCTTCTATACTCCCCCCACTCATTTAATTTCAGTCATTCTGGCCTCATTATTCTTCAAAAGCATATTAGGCACAATCCTGCCTTGGAGCTTTTGCAGTAGGCATTTTCTCATCTACAGATGGCTCACTTCCTTATATTCTTCAAATCTTTGCCAAAAGGTCATCTTTCGAATGACACCTATCCTGATCATCCTATATAAAACTGTAACCCTACCCAACAGAAAAATAATGAAAAGAGATGCTGAACTCATATATAACAAGGAAACTGCTGATTAAAGTGTACACTAATATACATTTTCTCTACTATCAAACTGGAAAAGAATTCTTGTAATTGTAAAATCCTGAGTTTAAGTTTGAGGAATAAACTTATATAATCTCAAAGTATCTGCCTCCAAAATACCTATTAATTACGTAAATAAAAAACTGTAACTTCATAGTGGAGAAACCTGGCAAACACTACCTTAATCAAGTAATCCAGAAATGGGAACATCAACATCATATGGCTCCGACGAGAAGTACTGAAAAGTACATATAACATCACATCTGTGTTATTCCTCCCAAGGCTACCTAAATTGAATATAATCAGAGAAACCCACCCTAAGGGACTTCTACAGAATATGTGGTCTATACTCTCAAAAAATATTGTCAATGTCATGAAAAGCGAATAGACTGAGGCATTCAAATTAAAGGAGGCTGGAGTCTTTAGGATGGAATGAAATGCATGACCTAGAACTTTCCTTTTGCTAAAAAGAAACATTACTGGGATAACTGATGACATATGAATAAGATCCACTATAGCTCAGGTATTATTGTATATCAATGTTGTCTGATTTTAAATTGTACTGTACTTACTTAAAAAAAAGCTGTTTATAGGTAAAACACACTGAAACACATAGAAATAGAGGAAATGATGTCAGCACTTTCAAGCAATCTGGAGAGAACATAAAGGAAAACTAAGTGTGGTACAATATAATATTTTGGAAAATTATGTCAAGAGTGTATATGAATTCCTTTTTTATTAAATCTGAAAATGTCAAAACAAAATCAAAATGTACACACATAGAGATACACATACTTCTACATGCATAAAATTGCAAATCTTCTCTACTCCAAGTAAATCTAAATTTTCTCTACTCCTTTAACCTATCCACCTGCTAGTATGTCTAATTTATTTTACTGTTTATTCTCTCCCTCCCCTTCTCGTTCCCTCCTGTGTGTGTGTACATTTATAAGATAAAGAGTGTGTGTGTTTGGTTCACTGATGAATTCCAAGTCTTTAAACAAGCACCAATACATAGCACGCAATCAATACAATCAATAAACATTTGTTGGAATACTGACTGAATGAACAGCTAGAATGGAAGATATGTGAAAGAATGTTGATAGCAGTTATTGTTTGAAAGTAAACAAACATTACAAAACCAAGTTTCCATTACGAAAAAATTTTAAATATTGAAATTATAAAGCCTTGATTTATTGCAGTGTTGCAAACTATTTAAAGAGAAAACATTCAGAGTAGATTATCTTGAAAACAAGAGTTTTATGTGGATAGAAAAAATACATAAAGCTTATCAACAGGCATCAAAATACCTAATAAATACTATAAAAATTTATAGTACAAGGGATTCTTTCTAAAATATTAAACATAGTATTCAGAGCTTAAATGACAAACATTAAGTTTATCTTAGTCATAGAATTCAATGCATTTGTAGAAAGTGCTTACTGTATTTTACAGTATTGTTGGGAAAATCAATTATGAAGTAATGTGGCAAATATGATATGCTAGCCGGATCTACAATACATCACACAATTTTGCTAGTCAGCACAGTGTTAACATATCAGCATGTAATTTATCAAGGATAGTCATTCAAATTCATTTAAGACTCCTAACATTACCTCTTCATCATTAGGGTCTACTGTGGTTTCATCATAGACTCGTTGGTTGTCAATGGTCTTGGGTACAGGTTTTGGTGGAGCCTAAATAAAAGTAAAAGTAAATTTTATAAGTATTTTACATTAGTTATTTTACATTATAGTTGGGGAAAAAAGAAATCTACAATTAACCCCAAAACACAATCTGTTCCTTATTGCAACCCACTTCTGTTACAGCTCCAACAATCCTGATTGAAAAAAACCTGAATAATACTATTTTTAACCATCTGAGCAGAAATATACATATTGAAAGAATGGCTAACTGTAATTTAAAACAGCTTAAAACTAGCCAGAAGTAGCAAGGAGAAGTAGGCATCAAAACAATTATCTATCATTGAGGAAAAAAAAAAGTAAGAAAGCAAACAACTGAATGGAGAGAAAAAAAAAAAAAATCACAAAAGTCCAAATGTATTGGACTTTATTTCTATACTATCAGAAAGTTATTTAGAAATACATAACAAAAGTGTATTCATTGATCTGAAGTAGTAATTCTACTGTGTTTTGGTGGATAAAATTTTTATTTACCTTATCTCCAAGAGCTTCTCTCTCTTTTTTAAGTTTTTTCTTAGCAGCCAACTTCTCCTAAAGGGTTAAAAACAAAAGAACAATATTGAGAAATCATTAGTTATGTCACAAACACACTGATGCTACAAATCACTAATTCTATGAGTATTCTGACTGGGAAGTAGTGTACTAAAATAATCATCCAAACATAGCTTTTTATAATTACATTACTGCAATCAAATGAGCTAATCAATAAGACTTAATAAGCAAAGACTTCACTTCTTCAAAATCTAAATTGGCAAGTGTGAAGATTCAAGCTCCATTAGCTTTAATTTTTGCTATAATATTTCAAATTAAAATTAAAGTGTGAAATGTATATCTAAACAAGTTAACAAATTTTGGTTTTCTTAAACAGTTACATCCCAATGATCACAGTTATGATAGTTGTTTCCCTTGGAAAGCACTAAATAGAAAAGGGAAATGAGGTTTTAGGTTGTTTCCAATAAAATCCTCATATTTTATAATCAAAATATGCTTTTAAAATTAGTGACAACTCACAAGGTTAGTATTATTTATTATAAATCTGTATCTTGATTTCTAAATAGAATGCTTGATACACAATAGAAAATACTCTTTTTTCCAATGCCTACTGACAGTCAACCCAACAGGTCTCAAGTTCTAAACTACAGTGCCAAGAAGTATTCTAGGACAGCCCTCCCCATACTTCCACATCAGATGGATTATATGGCCCTTTTATGTACTTCAATAGTTGGCACTTAGGATGAATCAAGAATCAGTCCAGGGTCCCAAAAATTCTAGTAGGAAGAGGCAAATAAGAATTATATATGCTATAATATTATCTGTTGTAATATATGTTATATATACTATATATTATATATTACAATATATAATGTTATAATATGTTATACTGCTATATATGTGTGTGTGTATATATATGTTTGTTTGGGTTTTTTTGGTACCTGGGATCGAAGTCGGGACCTTTCGCTTTCGAGGCTGGCGGCAGAACCACTAAGCTAAATCCTCGGCCCTATACTGCTATATATTATAGTATATATTATATATAATATATAACAGTATAACATATATACAATGTTATTATATTACAATGTTATATATGAACTTCTATGATATAAGGTAAATGCTTGATAAGTAAATGCTATGATAAAGTAAATGCTTTCTTCCATAAGTAATTTAACTGCAAATGAGCACTCAGACTTTGGGCAGGTCGTTTTAAACCTCTCTACATTTGTTATGTTTGCCTCCCATAACAGTATGAATACGATCACTAGAAACTTCAGTAAGCTACTGCAGGAATAAGACACTAATGGATTTGTTTTGCACTGCCTGTATCACATGTTCTCAAGGTTCACCAACGTTGGGTTGGGGTGGCAAAACAGAGGGGCTGAGATTTTTGCTTTCTAGCAGAAAGGGTAATTCTCACCAGGAGAGCAAGATTTCTGACTTCTGAGTAGCGGACCCTACGAAGTAGCTAGAAAGGAAGGGAATCCTCCACCATGAAGCTCAGGCTCAACCTAATCTCCAAAGCAGATCTAGAGACCAGGAGCCGTAAACCACGGGATTACTCTTCCGAATGAATCTCTAAGCGCACTTTACACTGATGGGGATCCTCGGAAGAGACAAGAAGTTCTTACAACCCCTAATCCTTTCCACGGCCACGACAGCGCGCATGCGCCCGTTTAACCCGCCCCTCGCATACCTTCCGCTGCTGCTGTTTCCACCGCGTGAACATTAAGTGTCGCCGCTGCTTGTTCTTAATCTCCGAAATGCTGAAGCCTGGGGGTAAGGCAGTAGCTTTCGGCGGTTGGACCACGCCTTCTGTCGCCCCATCTCCGGCGACAGAACCCTCCCGAGGTTCTTCCATAGCGGCTTTCCTTTTCAGGCTTTTCTTCCCGCTGCCGCCACTCTTTTCCCTAGTCTTCGCCATGTTGCTTGCTCCGGTGCTTCTGTACGGAAGCGGAAATGGCTTTTTTGGCGACCCTTTCCTTAGTTTTTACTTCCGGGGTCTCGAAGGTCCCAAAGAAAACATTTAGGGCCTGGGGATTTAGCTCAGTGGTTCTGGTGCCGGCCTTGCAAGCGTAAGGTCCCGAGTTCGATCCCAGGTACAAAAAAAAAAAAAATAAAAAAAAAAAAAAAAAAGAAAACATTTAACTGGGCTGTGGACAGTAGCAAGGTACCAAAATTGAGGAGTGAAGAAAGTATGGGCAGTCTGCCTAACTGTATGAATAAGTTCGTGGCTCCTTCATGAGGTGTCTGCTGTGTGCCAAACCCTCAAAATTATGGGACAAAGCACTCCTTGCCCTAGTTTACATTTTATTTTTTAGAAGTATGTAGGACGGGCATGGTGACACATGGCTGTAATCCCAGCACTTGGAAGGCAAGGGCAGAAGGATCGCTGCAAGTTCGAGGTCAGCCTGAACTGCATTGCGACACCCTGTCCCCAAAAGCTAAGAAAATAAATATATAATGAGCACACGAATAAATTGTGTGGTGAGCTATAAAGTAATACATGATATAGAAAAAGTAGGACAGGGTAAAAGGAGAGACTAGACGGGCACATTGGAATTTTAAATAAGATTCTTAGAATGAACATCATTCAAAAAAGTTACACTAAGGCAAGATTTGAAGGAGATAATTGGCTACCAAGTAATTACCTGGAGAAAGGGTTCTTAATCCGAGAAAAGGAAGGTAGGTAGGAGAAAATCTTTCCAGGACAAAGAAACAGCCAGCTCTAAATCTCCCAAGCTTGGCCTGTTCAAGAAACTATGGAGGCCAGGAGTCAGATGCAAAAGGAAGTTAAGGAGAGGAAACGGATTCAGATTGGACAGATGGGGTAAAGTTTTATAGGATGTTGACTTTTATGTAAGATGCAGATCTCTTGCGGGATTTTGAGAAAAGAAAGAGTGATATCTGGCCTACATTTTAATTTTATTCTGTGCTGATGCTGGGGATAAAACCTAGGGCCTTTTGCATGCTAGGCAAGCAGTCTACCACTTAGCTGCATTTTACCCCCTTGACTTGCATTTTAAAAGCATCACTCATACTCTTATGAGGAGACCACGGGCAGATAAAGAGAGGAGGTGGAAGGAGAGAAATGATAGTGACTTGAACTAGGGTAGGTATAGTGGAGGTGGTGAGAAGTGATCAGATCCTTCTGCAAGGAGATTATTTGGAGAAGATGAAAGAAATGAGCTAGTCAAGTATGATTTTGTAGCTTTTGACTGAAGCATCCAGATGGATAGAGATACCATCAGTTCACATAGAGAGACTTCAGGTGGTGCAAATTTGAGATGATCAAGATTTCAGTTTTGAAAATGTTAAATTGAAGGCATCTCTTAGTGATCTGTTCAAATAACCAATTAGAATGTATAAATCTGAGGGAGGGTAGGGAGGAGAAGGAGGGGCTACAAATAAAAATTAGGGAGTAATCAGCATGCAGCTAATATTTCCAAGCATTAATGAGTGTAGATGGAAAAGTGGAAAAGAGATGATTACCAAGGACTGAACCATGGAGCAGTCCTACATGAGGAGGAAAGGACAGCAAAGGAGGACCTAGCAAAGGAGAATGAGAAACCAAGAGAGTAAAATGTCATGGAGTTGAAGTGAAGGAAATGTTCCTTCAAGTTAAATTTGCTATATTCTTCATTTTCATTTTATGAATTGACCTCCAGTGACAAAAGTCCATTTTGGTTTAATGGGAGTCAGTTTTCCAGAAACTATCTTAATTTCAAAGTTTATATTTTGGTGTTATATTTTTTTTTTGATAATCCAATACTTTGATATATTCAAGTTTGTTTCTTATTCATGTTCTTTTTAACAAATTCAGGACATCAGAAACATCCAAGCTGTATTCCAGAATACAATCACCGTCTTTACCTGATATTAGGCCATAAGCCAAAGTTGCAATTAAATAGAACTATCATTTGGATTCAAAATTGGATTTGAATTATCAATAAAATAAAAAGGGGAAAATAGTGTTGAGTTTAAAAACCAGTGATGTGAATTGACTGCAATAAATCGTATTCATATACAGTTTATTTAAAGAGCCATAAAACAAAAAAAAATGTGATGTAAAAGAGGAGACAGCATCATTTGAAAACTGTAGACTTAAGAAATATTGTGGAAGGCCCTTCTAGTTTGTTAAGCCAAAATAAATTTGGTCTAAACCAGTCTGCTTACTAGAAGCATAAATATAATGTAAAGTGGCCTTTATGGTGAAATGCAACCTCAGGTGACTTGTAATCAAATTGTACCCTAAGAGTACACACTTGAAACCAGAGAACTGAGTTATAGCAGGTGAACTTCTAGTCAATCAGAAGCTTACAACTGTCAATAACATCCATAAAAATAAGGCAAATTCCAACTGCAGCCAATCAGGTTGTTTTGGTATTGAGACTGCTTTTCCTCTGACTATAAAACTGATCTGCATATGTAGTGGGTTGGAGCTTTCTAAACCAACTTTCCTTTGGAATGCTGCCCCATTCCAGAAACTTTTTTTTTTTCTCAACTAAACTTTATTAAATTGAGCTGGTTCCATTCTCTGTATATATTTTTTCCTTATAAGAACACAGTCCTGAAATAGATTTAGGTAACTGTCTTAAATTATTCAGGATGACTTACAAATGCAACCATAAGATCTTAATATAGACATTTTCTTTTTGTTCTTTGTGTGCTATTTATAGTAACAATTGTGTGCATCGAATGAAAGGATTTCTATGATCAGAATAAAATCCTTATTCTGAAGAAGTCAAAAAAGCATCAATTCAGCAAATACATATTTAATGCTACTTGTTATAGTTTAGGTCTGGAGTGTCCCCTAAAGCCTTGAGGCTCCACTTAGAGTTATTGGGAAGTGGTGGAGTCTTTTAAGAGGTAGGGCCTAGACCCTAGGTGAAACTTTCAGAGTTTTCAATGACATAATAAATGGCTGCTGCACAAATGCCATAGGTTGACCACCACTGGCCTAGGGGAAGGTTTGTAGGTCATTCTTTGAATGGAATAGTGGAATCCCAGTCTCTTTCTTACCCTTTCTTGCTTCCCAGCCATAAGGTGAGCAGTTTTGCTTTTCCATCTACCACTCACCTTGCTGTCTGGCATTCCCACCAAAGGCCTAAAAGCACAGGACAATGTGATAATGGACTGTAATCTAAAAACCTATGAACCAAAACAAACTTTTAAAAAGTTGATTATCCTAAATATTTGTTAGAGAGTCAGAAAGCTGACTAACACACTACATAGGATGAGTGGGAATAAATGCATAGGATGAGTGGGAATGGTGAAAAGAGTGAATCTGAACTATGTTCAGACCTTAACTCAGTTACCTAGCTGCTATAAAATCTCAGCTAAATTACATTATCTCTGTGAGCCTCTATTTCTTTTTAATCTGAAAACTGGGGCCAATTATGCTACTACATAGATGATAAAGAGAGAAGTAGAGATAATATGTATTAAAAGATTAGACAATAACTAGCTGGGTTGTTATTTCTAGGTGTCAGAAACTGCTAAACAATGTCGAGGCAAAAGACAACATGTTTACCTTAAAGTAGGGTAAAGTTTAGAAAAAGTAGAAATACAAGCCCAGTATGTCAAATGTTGAATGGAGATCAGTGTTGATTGTTTCATCAGACTCATTTCAACCATTTGCTCTTTCTAATTGCTTCATTATTCATTACTTCCAAGGCACATTCTTAATAGAGTATATGTTAGTTTTGAAAATAAAATACTTATTTTGAACATTTCCTATTTTTAAAAATTTGTTTTGATTCTGACATGTTAAGGACCCTGGGAAACAACTCTTAGGCATCAGATGAATTCAGTGTTATAAACTAGTATCAGAATATTTGATCTATGTAATTATTTAATTAATGTATTTTATAGATGAAACGTTTACTAGTAGGAAATAATTCCAATTTTATGTAAATAGTATCAGTTGATTAAATGTGAAGAATGGCCAAATGACTATAAGAAATAAAGATTGCTACTATTACAAACCAAAGAAAAATTTAAAAAGTCAATTAGATGATAATCTTCCACATGAAAATAAATTCAAAAATACAAAATAATATATCACATCAAATAACATATTGATTTTGTACATTAGCTAAGACAGTTTGTCTCAAGAATCTAAGAATGGTTAACATCTTGAGATTTTTTTACACATAATGTGATAAATATATTATGTCAATGCCATAAATATAAAATTACCATCAATTTAAAGTTATCTATCCATGTTGAAATAGTTTTATCATATTTTAGAAACTATCAAGTAAACTAAGAAACACATTTAAATTATTACTGAAGTTTGTTACATCAACAGAAATCACTCCAAAGGCATAAATTATGAATCCATTGCATGCTAATAAGAAATAATCGGTTTTGAAGTTGGCAGATTTTAAATTTATAAGGTAGTACTGTCCTATGGCAAACATAAAGTAAACCAATACTTTTTGAACTTGAATTATGGCTTATAGTCTGTTGGTAAGAACAATAGAACAATTCTAGAAATCACCTCTTATCCATGATGTTTCACTAGAACCCAAGAATATATACAATGGGTGAAAGCTAGACTCTTCAGTAGACAGCCTTGGGGAAACTGGATATCCACAGGTCAAAGAATGAAAACTGGTTTAATCGCTATAGAAAACAGTGTAGAAATTCCTTTTAAAAATTAAAAATAAAACTATCATATAACTCAGCATTTCCATTTATGAGTATTTATCCAAAAGAATAGAAATAAGGATCTCAAACAGATACCTGAGCTCTCATGTTCACCGCAACATTATTCACAGCTGAAGTATGGAAACAACTTAAATGGCTATCTGTGGATGGATAAAGAAAGTAGTATATGCATACAGTGGGTATTATTCAGCCTTGAAAAAAGAAGAAAATACTGCCATGTATGAGAATGTGGATGGGCCTGGAGAGCATTAGGCTAAGTGAAATAAGCCAGACATATAAAAATA